GGTGCATGCCTTTAATCCCAGCATTTGGGAGGCAGAGGCAGGTGGATCTCTGTGAGTTCCAGGCTGGCCTGGTCTACATAGTGAGTTCCAGGACAGCCAAGGGCCCTGTCTCAAAGGAAAAAAAAAAAAGCTCAGTATAAGAACATTACGGGGTGGCTGGAGAGATGGCTCAGTGGTTAAGAGCACTGCCTCTTCTTACAGATGTTCTGAGTTCAATTCCCAGCAACTACATGGTGGCTCACAACCATTTGTAATGTGATCTAGTGCCCTCTTATGGCATGTACTGTATACATGATAAATAAATACTCAAAAAAAAAAAAAAAAAAAAAAAAGAAGATGAGAGGGGCTGGAGACATGACTCAGTGGTTAAAGGCACTGATTGCTCTTCCAGAGGACCCAGGTTCAATTCTCAGCACCCACATGGCAGCTTACAAATGTCTGTAACTATAGGTCTATGGGACCCAACACCCTTATACAGACAAAACGCCAATGCACATAAAAATAAATAAATAAATATTAAAAAAAAAGAACATCAGAAACTAAAAAATAAAGACAGTTATGTAGTGGTGGCTTTACTTTGTGAGTTAGCAGTTCAGAAATGAACTTGCTTTTCAAGGTACTTGCTGCTCTACACTCTTAGATGTAGAATCTGCTCCTCTATCCCTTTCTCCCAGGCTGCCCTTGGCTCCATCTGAATAATAAAAAAATAGCACAGAAGTGACATTTGACTCCTGGAACTTAAAACTCAGGAGATCTTGCTAGTTTTCCATTATGCCTGGAGCTGCAGTGTGAGCATCTAGCCTGAAAGGCAGCATCAGTTGTCAGACATGCCAGAGAAGGGCTTCTGATGTTCTGGCCCAGTCAGTCCTCCAGCTGGAGGCATTGTACAGGTGAGCCCACTGAGACTATGAGAGGAACTGCTTGGTCAATCTCCACAGATAAACCAGTGCCATTCAATCCATCAATGGCTTCCCACTACTCACGCTTCTCGGTCTTCTCTGTCCCTCTTGATTCTTTTGAGCTCTCTGACTTTCCAGGCCTCGTATTCCTCCTCATCATTTTCATCATCTGTATTGAGCGCATCCAGTGCAGCAAGAGACCGCTTGTTCTCCTCCAGCTCTTTCTTGGTCTCTTCTTCTACAATCTGGAAAAGGACAATTCAGCTACTGGACTCCATCTCTCTATAACCTCATCACACAGACCCTTGCACTCAATCCATGGCCACTCCCAGCACCTTTAGTGTGTACTTGCGCCGCTCCTCAGCCATACGTTTTGCTTCCTGCTCCAGTTCCTTTTGTTTCAATGCTTCAGCTTCTCGTTCTTGAACTGTCACTCGGTCCTTCCTGCATCACAGAGGTCCTGTTAATTGCCCAAAGTCCTTAGAGTGGAACTGTGTCCCTCTAGATCTAGTCCTGTTCGAATCAGACAAAGCCCAAACCAGGAAGCATCTCAGCTCTATTTCTTCCCCCACTATCACCTTTGTGTGTGTGACATATGTTATATTCCTGGTCTTTAAAGACTTCCCTTAAATTTAAAAAAATTTCATTTTTATTCACTTTTTGAGACAGTGTCTTCCTATATAGCCCTGACCAGCCTGGAATTCCCCATGTAAACCAGAGAGGCCTAGAACTCACAGATCTGCGTGCAGGCATTAAAGGCATGGCACGGATGCCCAGGAACTGGAGTTACAGATGGCTATTAGTTGCCATGTGGGTGTTGGAAATTGAACCTGGGTGCTCTGGGAGACAGCTAGTGATCTTAACTGCCGAGCCATCTTTCTAAGCACCTTGTCTGTTGACAAGACTTTTATGGAGTGCTGCTTAGCCTCAAACTCATGGCAAGCCTCCCAGAATGTTAGGATTAGAAACAATTTACCACAATGCCTAGCTAGGTAAGTAATCTACCAACTGAGCTGTTATTTCTTTTTCTTTTTAATTTATTTATTATGTATACAGTGTTCTGCCCAGGCCAGAAGAGGACACCAGGTAGAATTACAAATGGTTGTGTGTCACCATGTGGTTGCTGGGAATAGAACTCAGGATCTCTGGAAGAGCAGCCAGTGCTCTTAACCTCTGAGCCATCTCTCCAGCCCCCTGAGCTTTATTTCTATCCCTAAATACAGCATGACTTTTTTTCCCTCTTCTGGTAATAGGATTTGAACCCTGGATTTGATACAAGAGGCAAATGCTTTACTACTTAGTCGTATCTTCTGCTGTTTTATTTTATTATCATTATTACAAAAAAAAAAATAGCAGGGCAGTGGTGGCACACGCCTTTAATCCCAGCACTTGGGAGGCAGAGGCAGGCGGATCTCTGTGAGTTCCAGGCCAGCCCGGTCTCCAGAGTAGACTCCAAAGCTACACAGAGAAACCCTGTCTCGAAAAACCAAAAAAAAAAAAAAAACCACAAAAAACTATGAGGCTATCCTGGTCTATGATACATGTTCCAGGACAGCTAGGACTACATAGAGAAAACCCTGTCTCAATTACCCTCTCCCATACAAAAAAAAAAAAAAAAAAACTTTAAAAAATTTCATGTACACCTTTAATCTGCACTTAGGAGGCAGAGACAGGTGGATCTCAGTGAGTTTGAGGCCAGCCTGGTCTACAAAGCAAATTACAGGACAGTAAGGACTGTTACACACAGAAGCTGTCTTGAAACCACGTCCCCCCCCAAAAAAAAACCAAAAAACCAAAAAAACAAAAAAAAAAAAACCCAAAACACAAAAAACATGTGTTTGGATGCCTTGTCTACATGCATGTCTGTATACTGAGTTATCTGCCTGATATCCATAGAGGCCAGAACCTCTTCTGGTTCTGAAACCCATGAAATTGGAGTCACATACAGTTATGAGTCACTGTATGGCTCTTGGATATTGAACCCAGGTCTTTTAGAAGAGCAGCAAGAACTATTAATCTCTCTTTTTTCGAGACAAAGTTTCTATGGCTATCCTGGAACTCACTCTGTAGACCAGGCTGGCCTTAAACTCATAGAGATCCACCTGCCTCTGCCTCCCAAGTGCTGGGATTACAGGCGTGCGCCACCACTGCCTAACAGAACTATTAATCTCTGAGCCATCTCTCCATATTAATATTTTGAGTGTACTATGTATAGGAATGTATGGTATGTGTACATGATGGTGAAGCTCAGAGGACTTTTGGGAATTGCTTTTCTCCTTCACCATATGGGAACTGGAGATTAAGCTAGCTTCATCTCAGGTCTTTACAGCATCAAACTTCCCTTAATCATTTATCACTGACTCCAATAGGATTTAACAAGAATCCTATTGGGCTGACTGTAAAATAGGATTCCTAAGCATTAGGAAATAAAGAAATTTGTTTTATAAGCTTAATTTTGTGTTTAAAACATGATTTTCCCTGGCAATGTGTTAAAGCACTTTCCTAGCATATGCATGGGCTTCATCTCTAGTATCACTAAATCAAAAACAAAACCTCAACAAAAATTGATTTTGTAAGCCCAGCACTTAAGATTCTGAGGCAAGAGGATCACAAGTCTGAGACAGTCTAGGCCTCACAGTGAATCAGGCAGCATAGCCAGAGCATCTCAAAACACAAACATAGACACACCCGGATTACCTTTATGTTTCAGGATTATGTGATCACACCATGAACCATGAGATTGTGTTATTTAAATAAAATCAACCATAGGTCAAGAACAAGCAACTAGTTGACTGGAAGTAACCATAGAGAGTGAGGGAAAGTTGGGAGGTTGGAGAGAAAGGCACAAGAAGTAGAAGGGAGGGACATCCAGTTGGAGGAATTTTTGTTTCAGACAGGATAGGGGAAAAACAGAGAAGGAAGCAGCTGGGTGCTTTCTCTGCCTCTCTGAGCAAGTGGGTTTTCACTCCAGCATCTGGCTCCCAAGTCTTTACTGATAAAATAGAACGATAGAGACTTGGTTAAAAACAACACCTTTTGTTGCAGATCTGCAAACATCTGGCTTCTTCTCAGCACTTTTGCTATAGGGATAGGGCACTGGAAAGAAGACTTCCTTTACAGGAAAAAGTGGGATTCAGAACCTTTTATTGTCAGACTGGAACTTAATCATGTGGATTCTGTCCTTTTTTAAAAAATTTATTATTTATTATGTATACAGTGTTCTGCCTGCATGTATCCCTGCAGGCCAGAGGAGGGCATCGGATCTCATTACAGATGGTTGTAAACCACCTTGTGGTTGCTGGGAATTGAACTCAGGACCTCTGGAAGAGCAGCCAGTGCACTTAACCTCTGAGCCATATCTCCAGCCTGATTCTGTCCTGGTTTGACTAATTGTTCCCTTTTCCTCTGCTGGGGATTGAACCTAGGCCCTTGTGCATACTAAGCAAGCATTTATCACTGACCAATATCCCTAGTCTCCTTTGTGAGAATTAGCTAATTTTGTAGCTCAGAGTGGCCTTGAACTAGCAATCCTCTTACCTCAGTCTACTGAGTGGCTGGGAACACAGCCTGGCTTAGCAGGTGTGGCAGACACTTACTTTCTAATGAAGACAGGCTTAAGTCGAGGCTCCATTTCATCTTCACTGTCTGTGTACTCCTCATATTCAGACTCTGACTCCGACTCCTCCCCAGAGCGCCCTTCATCTTCTAATTCCATGACTTCCATCTCTTCATTTTTCCTCTCCTGTGCTCGCTGACGCATCATGCCACGGCGCCGCTCTATTTCCTATATCAAGGCATACAGCTTAGCCAGTTATTCAAATGGCCTGTGCGTCAAGCTTGTTTTCTTGGTGATAATGACCAAATTCAGGGCTTTGTGCATAGCAAGTCTAGTCCTACTACTGAGCCCTCAGCATAGCTTTGATTTTGTCTTCAACAGGTTCAAGAAATTTTGACACGGTTAAGCATAATTCAGCATGATTTCATCTTCAGTCTTTATTTTTACTTACTTACTTAATTAATTAATTTATTTATTTGCTTTTTCGAGACAAGGTTTCTCTGTGGCTTTGGAGGCTGTCCTGGAACTAGCTCTTATAGACCAGGCTGGTCTCGAATTCACAGAAAAGTGTCTCTGAATGGACATTTGTTTGAAAGGCTTATTCATCATGGTCAAAGAGATCTGCCTGCCTCTGCCTCATTAGTACTGGGGGTTAAAGGTGTGTGCCACCACTGCCTGGCCTCATTTTCAGTTTCAACCCCAACAAACAGGAATCACAATCAGAGTTCAGACAGAAGTAGCAAATTTTGTACATTTATAGCCTCAACAAATCAGCACTGTTCTCAATTTTTTTCTTGTATCCTGGGGGAAAGAATTCCATATTATTCCTTTTACCTCATCATCAATTTCTTCCTCTTCTTCTTCGCTGCTATCTTCTCGTTCCATGCGCCAGGCATCTCCTTCTACTTCTGAATCACTTTCTCCTACCACTTCAGGTTCTACTATTTTTCGGTGTCGAGCCAATCTGAGAATCAGAATTTCCAAGTGTACTATTAATATCAAAAAAATAAGGAAGGGAACACTAACCACATTTGTTTGGTTGCAGAGTGCCCTGTTTTCTTTCTCCTCTTTCTCCCCCTTTTCTTCCCTCCCGCCACTCTCCAAAATTTTTACTCTTAAGGCCAGGCAACTTGCTATGTAGTTCAAACACAGTAGTCCTCCCACTTTGGCCTCTTTAGTCCTGGGATAACAGGCACGAGTCACAATATTGCACGAGAGCAATATTGAATTGTTTTTTTTTTTCTTCTCTTTCTCAGTGCAGCTCTGGCTGACCTGAAACTCGCTCTGTAGACCAGGCTGGCCTCAAACTCAGAGAGATCTGCCAGATATTGAAGTCTTAAGATGGTAAAACTAAAGTTCAGATTCAAGAAACTAAAACAGTAAGTTAAAAGTAAGAATGTCTGAAAACGTCCTAAGGAGTCATATTGCTGTCTGTCTATCTAAAATTACATATAACACATTTAAGTCTATGTGTATACACATACATATATAATTTAAATAAAAATTTTCTACCTGGGTTGACAACATTTCCTTCCCCAACAGCCACAGACCATGTAATAAAATACCCTAAACCAGGCATGAGGAGCCCCCTTTCAAATTGCTGGTCGGGAAAAAATTCCTAAAACAGTACAGGCTATCACTGTTGCTCTTGGTAGCTTCCCAGAGGTTAAAGGCAAGTGACTATTTTCTAACACAACATGCACTTTGGACACAGGATCTTGAGAATCCAAGTTGTGTCTGATTTGAGGCCCCCCCCCCCCCCAATGAGGACTAGTTTTCACAGTACTAGAAGACACCATGGTAGTTTCCAAGAGAGGGAGGCAACTAAAAGCCCTCCCCAGCTACAATACCTCTGAACTACAATAACTACCAGTATGGCATGATAATCTTATGGGTGCAGGAATGATATACCTATCTTGGTGGTAACCAAGAGCTCTCTAATTGGACTTAAGGCTTGTTCAGCAAGAGTGAAATCATGCCAGGTATTGGAAACCTGGCCAACTACCCATAGCTACTGAGATCAGGGATTTTGGAGGAGTACTTGTAACTGCTACTTTACTAAACCCTCTTACTTTATTTTATGTGTTGGTGTGAAGGTATCAGATCCCCTGGAACTAGAGTTACAGACAGTTGTGAGCTGCCATGTGGGTGCTGGGAATTGAACTTGGGTTCTCTGGTAGAACTGCCTGTGGTGTTAACTGCTGAGCCATTTCTCCAGCCCCTTAATAAGCCCTCTTAATTCCCAAATATATTCTAAATATTTATACTTATACCTACAGATAAATGTAGTGCTTACTCCTCATCAAAGAAATCTTTCTTTGCAACAGGAGACTATTACCGAAAACCACAACCAATCAAAATTCAAAGAACAAGTGATGATGTGGTATCCAATCCTAACTAAATTTCTACAACGTAACTCCTACACTTGAGCCCTGGGGAATATCACAGAAGAGGAGGCAGAACGATTTTAAGAGCCAGAAGAACAGAAAGTCTGCTGTGAAAGTACATACACTAGAAATGTAAGGGAAGCTACAGACCCATGAATTCTGAGCAACATGTCTGTCTAAATAGGACATGAACAAGGATTATACCAATAGACATACTAACTTAGAAGGGTGAAATCTCATAGGGCCCTAGCCTCATTCAAAGAACTTGAGGCTACTAAGGAATGCTGAGAGTAGAAGAAATAGATTTTTCCAGGGAAATGTCCCTGCCTCCAATTAGTTATCCTATACCAAATGGCCAGCCCTGAAATTATACACACAAGTAACATCATACAGACTGAACCTACTGAATTTACATATTTAGGTAGGTGTGTGTATATGAATTAACAGCTTAAGAAAAAGAGGCCAGCTAGCAGGTGGTGGTGCATGCCTCTAATCCCAGCACTCTGGAGGTAGAAGCAGGAGTTATCTCTGTGAGTTCAAGGTCAGCCTGGCTTACAAAGGGAGCTCCAGGACAGCTAGGGCTACACATAGAGAAAAACGCAGCAGCAGCAGCAACAACAACAAAAGAAAGAAAAAGAAGTCATGAATTTGAGACAGTAAGGGGAGAGTTGGAAAGAGGAAATGATGTAATTATATTTTAACTTCAAAACAAATAAAAATTATATATACAACTCAACAAGCTAAAACAGATGATCAGAGCACATAGTTAAGATGAGCCTAAAACATTAATTTAGGCATGATTTTGGGGAACATTAGGGATTAAGTAGCTCACAGTTTCATTAGGTCATATTATATTCCCCTCAACAGCACAGTACTTTTGTGAAACTGGGATTTGATGGCTGCTGTGACAAAAGGCAATTAAACATAAAAGTTGACAGAACAGGCTGATTCAAAGGTCTGAGAAGTTGGCAGTATCCAACAATTTCTCATGAGTTACTAGTAAGTAACTGGTTTTGTAAAAATGAAATAAGACAATTTTTTTTTCTTGTATAGGCATACAATTTTCAAGTGGTTTAGTTGTTAAGAAATAAATAGTTAAGTTACTTGGATCTATCTATTCAATAAAATAAATGGCTAGCATGGTATTATATGCTCGGCACTTTGGAAGTGAAGGCTGGGGGTTTCAGGAGCTGATCACATATTGAGTTCAAGGCTAGCCTGGGTCACATAAGATTCTCAAAAACCCAAAGGCAGCTGGCAGGTGGTGGCACACACCTTTAAACCCATCACTTGGGAGGCAGAGACAGGTGGAGCTCTGTGAGTTCGAGGCTAGCCTGGTCTAGAGAGTGAGTGCCAGGACATGCTCCAAAGCTACACAGAGAAACCCTGTCTCTTGAAAAATCAAAACCAACTCAAAGGTAAATACAAAAACAAGTAAGCAAATAAATAACTGAAACTGTTGTGATTCATGATGTCTGTGAAAAATTATTTAACGGGGGGTGGTGGTGGTGGTAGGGGAGGACGGGAGGGAGAAGGGAACTGGGATTGTCATGTATAACAAACCTGTGTCTAATTCAAATAAAAAAAAATCTGAAAAAAAAAGAAAAAAATTATTAAAAATTTTAAATTTTGGGCTGGAGAGATGGCTCAGCAGTAAGAGCACTGTCTGCTCTTCCAAAGGTCAGGCTTTCAATTCACAGCAACCACATGGTGGCTCACAACCTTCTGTAATGAGATTTGGTGCCCTCTTCTGGCTTGCAGGCATACATGCAGGCAGAACACTGTACACATAATAAATAAATCTTTAAAAAAAGTTTTAAATTTCATTTTTATTATTGTATTCATGATGTGTTATGTATATATACACATATACACATAAATATAGAGAAAGAAAGAGAGAGAGAGACAGACAGACAAAGAATGCATGCAGAAATGCATATACCACTGTAGGGGAAGCTGTAGCCACGCCTTCTTAGTGGCTGGCTACAGGAGTACCTGAGCCGGCTTGTGAGGGCGTGGTCAGAGCGAGTAGGGGGACTGCGTTTCGTTTTTGGTTTCTCTTTTGCTTCTTGCTGTACAGACTACCACCGGCTGGCTGGTTCGCTCTGTAAGTAAGGCTTTTCCCTATTAAATACCCTTATATTTCTACCTGACTCCATATTGGTAATTTCCCACTATATACCACAGCATGTTTGTTGAAATCAGAGGACAAATTTTGGGAGTTTGTTTCAGGGATGATGGACATCAGGTTGTCAGGCCTACATGACAAACAATTTTACATACTGAGACCCCCTGCCTGTCTCCCCAAATTGAAACACTATGAACTGGGAAAGTTCAGGATAGCTTGCCTGCTCTGATGTCTAACTGGGAGTTTTTCCAACATGAGTTTACATAACATAACTTGTCTTTTTTTTTTTTTTTTTGAGACAGGGTTTCTCTGTGTAGCTTTGGAACCTGTCCTGGAACCCACTCTGTACACCAGGCTGGCCTTGAACTCAAAAAGATCCACTTGCTTCTGCCTCCCGGGTGCATGGGATTAAAGGTGAGCCATTACTGCCAGGCCCTACTTGGCATTTTTACTTACTAGTCTTTAGAACAAGTACAAGAGCACGGTGTGGTGGCTCACACCTGTACTGTCAGTGCTGAGAGGACTGAGACAGGAGGATCATTGCCAAGTTTCAGGTCATTCGGGGCTACAATACCACAAGAAACAACTATATGTCCAGGTGGTGGCACACCTTTAATTCCAGCATTTGGGAGGCAGAAGCAGGCAAATCTCTTGAGTTTGATGCCAGCCTGGTCTACATAGTTAGTTCTAGGATGGTCAGGAATATATAGGAAAAACCCTGTTTTGAAAACAAACAAACAAAAAAACCCAACCCCCACAACCAAAAAACCAAAACAAAAACCCAAACCCTATATGAATAAAATCAGTTTTTCAAATATTTACTATAAAAATATTTTTATAGTGAAAAGACTCCCTGCAACAGACCAATCAATGCTGTTTTCTCTTTATCAGCTAATTAGAGTCATTAGGCCTATGGAGGTATTTTCTTTTCCCCCAAGACAGGGTTTCTCTGTGGCTTTGGATGCTGTCCTGGTACTAGCTCTTGTAGACCAGACTGGTTTCAAACTCAGAGACCCACCTGCCTCTGCCTCCCGAGTGCTGGGACCAAAGGTGTGCACCACCATCGACTAGTGGAGATGTTTTCTGAAGCTGCTACTCCTTGGCTATATAACTTTGGTCATGCCACTTCCCTAACCCTCTGCTGCCTTAGTTCCCCACCTGTGATATAGGTATAGTAGTACCAATTTTGTAAGATGTTCTACAGATTGTAAGAATTAGCAAATGTAACTTATTTGGGATAGTATATATATGGCACACAGTAAGCACAAATATTATCAACTATCATCTCCATGACAGGTCTCAGTTCAGACAAATGTAACTCTTGTCATACCTCTCTTCCACATCTTCACTAATGCGATTCTGTAAACGCCGAAGTCGGGGGTCACTGGATGAATCTTCCTCCTGTTCCTCAGGCTCTGCTTCTTGTTCCTTAGCTTTCTTAATGAATTGAAATTCTTCATCCTCTTCATCTGAGGACTCCATAGGGGCATAATCTGGCCTTTTCCCAGATACATAACGTTTTACTTTCACTTTTTCCATTGAAATCTCACCTGGACAAGAAAGATAATTTGTTTCAGTAACCTCTTTCCTAATTCCCTGCAATTCTTGGCCTTTGCAGATAGAACCCTAAGTTCTTGATGGAGCAGAGTCTAGAGAGGATATGGCAGTTATTATCCAAGTACATATTCATCTATCAGTGGGTTCCTATAAAGACTATGGCATGGGAAGGCATTTTATAAATACCAAAACTAAGACATCAAGAGGTACCTCGGGGACAACAAAGTAGAAGACTGTGAACAATGAAACTGCAGACCCTCTCTCCCTGCCCCCCACCTACAAATTGAGGCTTTGTCATCTCAACCCTTAGTGGTGATTTGAATGAGAACATGACCCATGATCAAATGTTTGAACACTTGGTTCCCAGCTCCTCTCTCTGAGATGCTATGATAGCCTTTATAACATAATTTAATATTCTAATTTTATCAATTTTTCTAACCCTTATGCTGAACCAGATGTTCTCTAAAACACAAACAAGTTGGAGCTGAAGAGATGGCTCAGCAGCTAAGAGTACCTGCTGCTCATGCAGAGGACTGGATTCATATTCCAGCACCTACACGGCGCAGTCTGTAACAGTCTGATACTCCAGTTCCAGAGGATCTCATACTCTCTTCTGGCCTCTCTGGGTACTGAACCCACATGGTGGCTGGCATACACACACAAAAGCAGAACATCCATACACATGTAATAAGAATACAGAGAAACCTTGTCTCGACCCCCCCCCCAAAAAAAAAGTGGAAATCCTTATAACCACCTGGGAAAAATCAAAGATAGCTTGGATATAACATACACACAAAGATCTCCAGCTCACTTATATTTTTACTTTTGTTACTGTTTCGGTTGTGAGTCTAGCCTTTAACGGCTGAGCCATCTCTGTGGCTCTATTTTTTATTATTTTTAACGATGCTGTGTGTGGATACGTGCAGGTACCAGCAGAGGCCAGAGGTTTTGGGGTTACAAGTGGTTGTTGAGTCGCCTGATGTGGGTGCTGGAAACTGAACTCGGGTCCTCTGGGAAAGCAGTCAGTGCCCTTACCCGCCGAGCCACCACCTCTCCAGCCTCCTTTACTTTTTACTTTGAGAGGTGATCTCAGCAGGTCGATCAGATAGAGAGACGCAAGTGTATTCCGCATCCCTCAATCTCTAGGGTACATGACAGGGTGCGGATTCAGGTGGGACGGAGTCGGTGGGGCTGAAACGGCCAATCTAAGGCAGGTTTGAGGGATACTGAATCAGTAAGAGGTAAGATCAGACAGGAGGAGGGAGGGGAGGGGAGGGGAGGGGAGGCAGTACCTTTCTCATTGCGAACTGGGACGGCCCCAGCCGTAGACTGAATGGGCGGCTGCTTCATGAGTGCGCTTGGGACCGACATGGTGACGGCCGCGGTGGAGACTCCCAAAATTTGATTAAATCCCAACAACGAAGTCCAAGGAACACAACACCTCCTCCCACCTAGCGCCGCCGCCAGACGCTGCTGCGCGACTGACAGAAACGACTTCCGGCAGAGCTAGAGGAACCGGAAATATGCCGGCAGAGGATTGTGGGATTGCGGAGGGACGCTGAGCGCGGGCTGCTTAAAGGGCCAGGCTGAAATTTTACGCGTCTTCGTAGGTAAGTTTCCCGCCTTTAATCTCTGAAGATTTGGAAGCTCCTTTTGGCGGGCAGTTGCTTCTTTGAGGTTTTGGTGAGGTTCAGGAGGGTTCGCCTCGCCCTTAAAGGTTTCCTTTGTTATGTTTTGGAGAAACGGAGCAGATAGTGAGGGGCTGCTTGTGCATCTTGTTGAAACCCCAGAAGTGTGGAGTCTGAGCCGGATATGCGGGTCACGTTTGTAATCCTAGCATCTGGTAGGCTGAAACAGGATAGCGGCGTTTGGAGGCCAGTCTGGGCATCAGAATGAGACCCTGCTTTTAAAAAAAAAAAAAATCCCTAAGGGCCATCTGTTGGTTGGAGCACACTCCGGAGGCTGAAGCAGGCGGATCTCCGAGAGATTGAAGCTAGTCTGGTCTACAAAGACAACATTCTGGGAGTTCAATATTATAGATGATCTTGAAGGTGCTGTTAATATAATTGTCAAATTATTTCACTTGTTTTCTGCAATTGGGCTCTTGCTGGTTGAAGACTGAAAACTGGCAAACTTTAAATTAGTGAGTGCTTACAATCAACGAAACAAGGACGAAGCCTAAGCACTAGAAAAGCCTTAAAAAAGGCAAATGTAGATGGAAATCTTTATTCTTCTTTATTTAATCTTGAGACTGTGTTTTGCTGTGTTGCCCAGGCAGGTGTTTTGTTTTTTTGTATGTTTTTTCACCCTCGATTTCTGAGTTGCTAGGATTAAACACACAGGTGTGTCACTTACAGAAATTTTATATTATGAAACCGGGTGGTGGTGGCTCACGCGTTTTTGTTTTTTTTTTGTTTTTGGTCACCCCTGGCCATCTATAGGTTTTCTTTAGTTCAAAACAGGTGCATTTTTAAAAAATTTTATTTATTTATTATGTATACAACATTCTGCTTCCATGTGTATCTGCACACCAGAAGAGGGCACCAGATCTCATAAAGGATGGTTGTGAGCCACCATGTGGTTGTTGGGAATTGAACTCAGGACCTCTGGAAGAGCAGTCAGTGCTTTTAACCTCTGAGCCATCCATCTCTCCAGCCCCGCCAAGTGCAATTTAAACCAGCATTATCAGTTATTAGAAACAAGCAACACATAATGCATCTTTTTTTTTTCTTTATTCTCCTTATTTTGAGACAGGGGTTCACGTAGCTCCGGCCTCCCTTGAACTGCCTGTATAGCTGATGACAACTTTGAATTCCTGAACTACCTGCCTCTACATTCCAAATTAGGGATGACAGGCGTGGGCTATCATGCTTAGCTGCTCTCCTATTACAGTTTAAAAAATACAGTAGCAGTCAGGTAATTTCCTAGTAGTGGTATTGCAGGGAGGTGGGCAGAAGTAAAGGTTGAATGTTGACATTGTGTGTATGGTGTGTGAACATCTCAGTGGGTAGGGGAAATGTGTGCACTTGTGTTACATACATGCACATGGATGTCCTTCCTCAGGAGCTGTCCGTCTTTAAAAAATTCTTATTTCTATGATTATTGGTGTGCAATAATTGTGCAATTGTGGTCCTATGAAGATGAGAGAACAGCAATGAGACATGTCTTTATGTGGGTTCTGGGAATCAAAGTAAAACCGCTAGCTTGCATAGCAGGTATCCTTTCCTGTTGAGTCATCTATCTCTCTGGCCCCAGTTGTTTTTGAGACAGTGCCTCTTGGACCTGGGGCTCTGTGCTTAGGTTAGTCTGGTTAGCCACGAAGCCTCAAAACTCCACTTGTCTTGCCTCACCTATGCTGGGATTATAACTCCAGCTTTTTAGTTTGGATGCTGGAGATTAAAGTCAGGTCCTAATGCAAGCACTTTACCAACTGTTTATTGATTTTTGTGTTCATTTGTTTTCCAGTCTTTTTGGCATTTATGAGGGTATGGATCTTTTTCAGGGTCATGAGGCAAACCAGAGGTCTGGTGTTTTTCTAAACTAAAGAGTCAATATTTTTCAAAGGAGGATCTCGGGACCTGCTAGTCACAGAACCCAATTGGGACCCCACATTCAGGGAGCTGGAGCAGTAGGATTAGGGGGCTAGCTAGTGCTAGAGCGTTTTCCTTGCCTGTAGCACCCTGGAAAAGCTCTGGCATTGTGGGGGTGGAGACAGCTGTATCCTTGGAGTTTGCTGTCAGCCAGTCAAACCCGAAAGGAGAGCTGCAGCATTAGTGATAGACTCTATCTGAATGGGCAGAGCGGTGAGCGATCAAGGTTACAAAACAAAAAACCGCCTAAAGGGCTTTTGGCCGGGTAGTCCAGACTGCTCTTCCTCCCTGCCGTGGAGGCTCCTCCCTCGGGGCCGCCCACGTCACGCGAGGCCCCGCCCAATCACGCCTAAGTTCTAGCGGGAAGAGCCCAGCTGCTCAGGGGCAGAAAGATGTCTGGGTGCAACGCAGAAGCTGAGGAAAAGGCAGGCTCCAAACAGTGTCCCCAGGTGCAGGTGAGACCTGATTCGGGCCCGGGAGGGATCTGCTAGACACTGGCACCTGATGCCAAGGAAAAGCTGTGATTCCTGCCTTTTTTTTTTTTTTTTTTTTCTTCTTAAAAGAGAAAATTAGGTCGTTAAGAGTTGAGGAAAGTTTCCTACCAACTCCAGAAATAATGGTAGGTTTGCCTTTAATCCTATCACTCTGGAGGCAGAGGCAGGTGGAACTCTGAGTCTGAGGCCAGCCTGATGTACACAGTGAGTTCTAGGCCAGCCAGAGCTAGGTGGTCAGACTTCCCCCCACTTTCCCCACCACCACCACCACCACCAAAAACCAATTCCAAAACCTTAGGATGGGTCTTGGGGCCCTTTCCTCTGGTTCCCTGCCTTTACTTTGTAGCAGTTACTGTCAGCTTTAAGCAATTACCGTTAACTTATATGTGACCTTTGGCGTAATTACCTCAGTTACAGACTTGTGATTAAGAAATGCACCTTCAGTGATTCCATTCAGGTTAGAGAATTAAATACACAGATTTTGGAGGAGGGAAAAATTTCCTAACAGGTTATCATTTTGAATCATGTTGTCACTATGAAGTAGGAATTATATTTGCTTCTGCAGATTTGCTTAGTGTCTTGTAAGGAAGAGCATAGGATCTGGGATTTCCAATACTGTTTTCTTTTATTGCCGCACTAGGTGAATGAATATAAAGAAAATGGAAATTGTGCTTATACTTCTTTGAGACCAATACAGACTACAACTTCAGGGAAAACAGCTAAGGCTTATTGTCTTTCTCCATTTTCGCTCAGCAATTCCAAGCGAGCACGATTTAAGTTGTCCACATCCCCATTTGAAAGCCATCCTAACAATGCGGTGGCTTGTAAGAAGACTGGCCGGAAGAAAACTTGTAGAAAGGGTGTAACTTCAAAGATGAAGGCCGTATCTTCCAAGGCAGAGTCCCTTCTGCTGAAACCACCTGTGGATGCTTACACTGACAGTGAGCTGCGACACAGCAGCACAGCAGAGTCGGTGACTCTCAGTGTGGACATGGGAAGCAGTGATGAAGACAGTGCACCAGGCCTGGTAAGAGTTTACTTATTTATAATTGTCTTCTCACTTTGAAACAAGAAGTTCTGAAAGCTAAGGTGGTGAAGGATCTCCAGCAAAATCTGTTTTATTATCTAATGTAAATTTAAAAAAGTGTTTTGTGTAGTATGCACGTGCTTGTGTGTGTGTGCACAGGAGTGTGCGTGTAGTATGTGTCCTGAGTGTGGAGGTTATAGGAATCAAAAGAAGGTTCTCAGGCATGAACATGAGAACCTTTGCCTGATGAGCCATCTTGTAAGCCTTTTAATTTAATGTATATTCCCTTGAGTTTTAATTTTAATTAATTTTTTTTTTTTTTTTTTTTTGCTTTCATTATTTTGTTTTTCAAGACAGGGTTTCTCTGTAGCCTTGCCTATCTTAGAACTAACTCTGTAGACCAGGCTGGCCTTAAACTTACAGAGATCCACCTGCCTCTGTCTCTGCCTCTGCCTCTGCTTCTGCCTCCTGAGTGCTGGGATTAAAGACAAGCGACCAGTGCTCAGCTTAATTTTTAGTTTTTGAGACTGAATCTTGTTGCATAACCCAGGTTTACCTCCAACTTGCAATCTCCTTGCCTTTGCCTTTTAAGTGCTGGGATTACAGGTGTGTGCCACTATGT